AACAAAGGCTGTCTTGAAACAGGCCCAAAAATGGCCTGTGCTAAACCCTGGTCTGGCGCCTGAGTTTCAGGGCAGGTCGACTTTATGAGGGCCTGCAAATGGCCCTCGTTTTCAGGCTTTCAGACTGAAACGACACAGGGCCTGTAGGCCCGTGTGGCTGCACAGTATGCCACACTAGGCCACAACCGTGGCTGGGCCATGGCCGAGATGTCTAGGCCACGCCAGTGGCTGGGCCGCAGCCGAGATGTCTAGGCCATGCCCGTGGCTGGGCCACGGCCCAGATGCCTAGGCCACACCCCTGGGGATACGACCGGTACCGGTACCGGTACCTCCCATTTTTGGCAATTGTCAAACTGGCAGGACCGGTACCTGTTTTTTTTGCAGTTTCGAAGTGCACTGTGCTGAGATTGCAGTCAGCTGTTATTCCTGCGAATTTGGAACTCTGCGGCGGTCACAGGCGCAGTTGTCTCTTTTTATTTTTTTGCGGTTCATCATTCGCCCATTTTTCTGTCCACGTCCGCGGCTGCTCCGCCTATTCGAGGTCTCACCTTTTTCCGTCTGTAGTTCACCATCTCCATCGCCGTTGTTGTCCACATTCTCGGCATGTCCATCGATATTGTCGCCGTCCTTGCACGCGTCACCATGTTCACCATTTGCTGCATTGGTGTCAAACCCCGAGGGCGCTGAAGTTCCATTGTGCACCGGGCAGTTCCATTGTGCACCGGGCACGCATTGTCCATGTCACCTCCTTCCACATCCACCATGGAAGGAGAGGGTTTGGCAGGCGATCACCTGCTGGACGTAGGGGAAGGGGAGGAGTACATGCCATAAAACGGCTGCAAACCCTACCCGCACTGAGGGGACCAAGGCCTATCAATCCTCATTGCGCTCCCTGTCTCCAATGTCTGTTGCATGGGAAACACATGAGTGGCAACGCCGAATCCACAACCTGCCAGCAAGGTTTGTGCACCGCCGATGCCGTAGCACCTGTGGTAATGTCTCGTATCTTATAGTGGGGAGCTGCACCTGCTGGAAACCATGTCCAGCATCCCTTCTTAACACATAAAGAGCCCGAACTGTGTGGTTTTTCAGAGTTGCATGAGTTGTCCTCTCGTATGCCCCAGAGCGCCTACAGCCTGTCAAGACCCCCTGCATCGCTGGGTGTATGAATTGCCAGCTTCTGATATCCTGGGGCCCCTGGAAATCCTGCCCAGCGTCCCTTAAAGATCTTTCAGAGCTGCTTCGGCTAAGACAAACTATTTGTTGTTCACCTCACGTGGCCTGTAACCCACCTTTTTCCTCCTTTTACCCCACCCATCCTGCACCAACCTATTGTTTTCCCCACCCCATCAACTTCGTCTCCCACTTAACTCACCTGGTTTCATATTGGCTAAGAAAAATTGGGAGGAATTGAAGCGGGCATGGTGGGCCATCACCAGGAAATTTCAGAGAAATGGTAAAATATGGGTGAGAGTTCTTTCGGATATTCCTTTAATTTTGACTCAAGGTGATAGGATTCGAGCCTATGACCCTCTGTACCCAAAACAGACATGCTACCAGACCTCTCATGCAACCCCCAGGTCGTTGAATCTCTTGATGTCAATCTAATGGAGTTCTATATTGTTCGAATTTCTTCCTTTCTTTTCTTTTGTAGTGTTTTAAATCTTAACATCGAGCCCATCAGGCTTGATGAGGGCCAAAGAAAGAGAGGAAAAAAAGGGGTTGATGAGGGCCAGATGTCTTTTGCGAGGTGAGTTGTGGAAACAATATGTGCCACACCCGCAGCTGATTTCACTAAGGTCTGCTGCAGCACGTCTCATTCAATTGGTCATATGTGTCCCACACTCGAAGCTGACTTCACTATGGTCTGCTGCAGGACCTCTCATTCAAACGTTCTGATGTCTTCCCGTTCTCAAAGGGTTGAAGTTAAACGTTGTCGCAAAGTAACAGACACATGTCACACCAGAAAATCATAACTCACTGATCTACTTTGGGGAATGCCAATCAACAGGAGAACCATTTACCCAACTCACTCGTCACCAGAATTTGCATACCAGATGGAACTTTCTTCTGAACATAGACAGTGCATCATTCTCTCTCTCTCTCTCTCTCTCTCTCTCTCTCTCTCTCTCTCTCTCTC